GACGACAACGACGATGTTGATGACGATGACGAAGATCCATTTGACTGTGACGATGATGAGATGGACGACGATCCCGTGATAGCCAAGGAGGTCGTGGCAGCCTTGAATAGCCATCGAATGTCGAGCCGAGTTGACCCGCTATAATTTGCCACGGCTATAACCAGTGTGTTTATAACAAAGGTGTGTGTCGTTGTTCCTGTGATGCAGGAATACGTCAGAATACATCCACCATGATCCACCCTGCCTTCGAAACGATCCGACAGTGTACAACGTGCGGCGCTCTGCCTTTTGCGTGCATTATAGCTTCACGTGATTGATGCACGCCATAAGCATCATCATAGCCACGGGAAACGTATGAGGTCCGAAAGGTCGTGGGTTTGTGACGTCACTTGAAAATTCCACAATTCGCTTGGTTTTTTCTGCTGACTACTAAGTTACTACGTACTCCGGAGTATTAATACCAGTAGTATTCTAACAAATCGAGGATCAGATTGGCTATTAAAGAATGGACAATTGTATTCAGCCAATCAGAAGTTCAATAGAAGTAGCCAATAGCGTCAATTCATGATTCGAGCGATCTGGAAATTTGTACTGTACCGAATCCACACACGAACTACCGTACAGGCGAAGTTCCGTGACAACTTAGTTCCGTGGAACTGTTTTCAGCCTAAGAGCACCCCCACCGGTTGATGTAAACATAGAGCTGAAAAGACCCGTCATTGGGTGCGTGCTGTTACAGTAGCATATCACTTCACAGCCAATCCACACCGGTTGGCGGAAATTGTAGCCCTGATGGAGCAATTGAGGTTTTGGAGCTCTCGCCAGTGGAAAATTTAGTGCAGCAGGGTTGGCTTACATTCTATTGTCTGTAAGATTCATATTAATGCTGCCGGCGAGCTTCAGGACGTCGGGATGGCATGCTTCGTTGAAGAAGTCCATTGGGACCTCAATCGCATAGAACTGTAAACGACCCAACAGATGGATCTGTACAGAAATCTGAGTGTTATGGAGCGTTTACATCATGATGTAAAATTTATTGGCAACCAGTGGGAGTCTGAAAAATGTAAATTTTGCTGATGTAGTGATGTACTTTGAAGATTTTTACATTTCTACATCAGCTGGTGGGGATGCTCTAACGTTACAGATATTTTCACTTTTTTAGTTCACTGTCATGTTCATCAACACCCCTCCATCGATAATAGTAACGTTACCTTCTTTCCTTTTGTGTTTCCACAATCGACAAAGCCTTCAGGTGCCTTGGCGAGGAGTGAGCCCCAATCGTGCACGTCACCAAATGTCCTATCGATTCCTCTCGCGGGAAAAGCGGCAGGTAGGCCGTAGGCCGTGCCGATACAGTACCCGGACGAGGCCTTTTCAACAACGATCAAGTCAATAATAATACACTATAATTGTATCCAATCAAAACCTCAATAGAAATGAGCTTGAAGAAAAGTCAAGTATGAGGTGAAAACATAACAAAGGTACTTGTACTTTAGCCAATCAAAGCCTTAGGCACGCTCTTTTTCGTCACCGGATTGGCTACCGTCAATGTGACGATTCAACTCGTTTGTCAATCACGAACGTCAACATGGCAACCCCGACGACTTCATCCCCACAGCCGAATGCCGCGTTCACCGACGATGCCGCCACGATCATCACGATTGAAATGGTGACAGCCCTTATGAATGCCAAAGCGCAGCCGCCTGGCGCTCTTGGCCACGTGCAGCAAGTTGCGATTCAGCTGTGTGTGCTGCAGCAATCCCTCACGCCGACCGTCCATGCCCCAGTATGTCTTGTGTTCGCAGGTGACCACGGCATCACAAAGCGAGGTCCTGCTGATGGACCATCGGCCTTCCCCCGCGAAGTGACGGAGCTCATGTACAAGACCGTGTGCCAGGGCCGCGCGGCGGTCACGGTGATGGCGACTGCGTTGAATATTCCTGTCGCTTGCATTGACGTGGGCATCGACAGCGATCGCGCGAGCTCCACCCGCGTCGCCCGCGGCACCCTCGACATGACTGCTGGCCCAGCCATGTCGTTGGAGCTGTGCCAAGCCGCCCTCCAAGTCGGCCGCCGCACCGCCAGTCGGTACATTAACGACCTCGGGCACAACGTGATATGTGTGGGGGAGCTCGGCATTGGCAACACCACGTCCGCCAGTGCACTCGTCGCTGCTGTCACGAATGTCGCCGTGGAAGACGTGTGCGGTCGCGGCACGGGGCTCGACGACGACGGGGTGCTGCGCAAAGTTCGATTGGTGCAACTAGCGCTGGCTACAAATGCGCAAACCATCCAAGACGATGGCGTTTTGGGTGCGTTGGCGGCTGTCGGGGGCCTCGAAATCGCCGCCATGTGTGGAGCCATGCTGGAAGCCGGACGGCGCCGCGTGCCTGTAATCGTGGACGGGTTCATCTCGGGGGCGGCGGCGTTGGTCGCCCTGCGGTTGGAGCCAGACGCGATGGCCCATGCCCTGTTTCTATCCCACCAGAGCGAAGAAAAGGGCGCGTCGATCCTTCTCCACGCTCTGGGGGGGCTTGGGGCACCGCTGCACATGAACATGCGGCTAGGAGAAGGCACGGGGGCCGTCCTCTGTGTGCCGATCCTGCAGTGTGCCGCAAAGTTGGTTCAAGATATGGCGTCGTTGCAGGGAGTCATTGAAGGCACAGTGGGCGTGAACCCAGCCAGTGACGTTGCTACGTCGTAGGAGCGAATCCATTGTATAACCTTTATACAACCTAAGTAAGGTTCATAGTATTTTCCGTGGGCAAACTGCGCTGTACGAAGGCATCAAGTACGGAATACATGGACTAACAGTAAGGTGCTTATCACCAGGACAAGGGATATTCTTGGCATTATGACAAAACGTGATGGAACGAGAAAGTTCCGACGACAACTTTTCACGTACTACATTACTAATATTAAATTGTACTACCCAACAACATGTAAACATTGACATGAGTATTACTTGAGCACAAACTTTTTGAGCTGGCGCCGCATGGCTCGACGGTTGACCTTGACGACGAACGCGGCGAGCCCCACCAGAATGGCCGCCATGGCAATCATCACATGCACTTGATAAGGCACGCCGCCTTTGGTGTTTGAATGCTGGACACGTAGCAGCGACCCGCTGAGTACTTTGCCTTGTCGGACGCCAACTGCCATAACATCATCAGGCAGTAAAAGACCATTCCCATTTGGGGATGCATCGTCGTCGTTGAAGTGAAGAGCGCTATTCCCAGCTGCGCTGTCTAATGCTGCCTCGTTGCTGGTTGATGGCATAGGGCCCTGTCGCATGGTCCACCCAGGCAAGAGCTCCTCAATCAAAGTAGCGTCTAGATAAGGCTGCCAGCGGAGTTGCTTACACGACCCTCGATCTGGTGTGTCGGTCGATAAGTCGATACCGGCAAACGCAAGGTATTGTTGAAACGACCTTACTGGACCATACTGGTACAAGTTCAAGTCCTCCTCGTCCACGGGCCCAAACACGGACAGCCCCACGGTGTGTCTGTATCTATAAATAGGACCAAACTTTCAATCACTCGTTCCCCCAAGGGAGGGGGGGGGAATGTTGCTTTACCGATTCACACCAAGCATTGTTTCGTGGGCTCGAATGACAAAGTTGACTGGGATTTCGTTAAACCTACATGTGTGAGTGGTTTTGAATGAATCCCAATGGCTATATTGGAACTAATCAACATACAGTCTGTGTGCATCAAGCCACTACTAGTGTAACATGTAGTACTCCATACCATACTGCATACACATAACGAAGTGAATATGTACTACCTCTCTGGCACGGACGAGTAGTTGTGGTAAATCACAGAAATACTTGGGCTATACATGTCATAGCCGTACGTCCATAGATGCGACGCGCGGAGAAATTCTTCGCCATCAAACATCCACAGCGTATGCGGGTCAATACGCACTCGAGTTTCGGCATGGCACTTGCTAAAGCTTAAGCCAGCCCCCCACAGCGCCGAGAGCTGGGGCTGCTCAGCTCCCAAAAGCATGCTGGCGCCTTCGTTGCGGACGCACTTGTTGCCGCCACGAACGGTCGTGCACAGGTGCGGATACTGCCCGGGGTGGTGGTCAACATTCGTCCCCATTTCGTCGACATATGATGGGCTGTACGCGTGAAGGTACGTGGTCAAGACAGCCATTTCGTTGTTGGCGCGGCCCCACTCTTGCACGAGCCGCGAGTCCCAGTCTCGTGTGAAGATGCTGTGGGCGTCTAACTGAAGGCAAAAATCTTGATCCCCCACCAACGCTTGTTGGTAGTGCCTGGCGACACTAGGACCGCGCGATGTGCTAGCTTGTCGTGTGTCCACTGTAATCTGCTTCTTGTACCGGCAGTCGCGGTGGTCAGGCCACGCGTCCCGTGCTAGCTTGCAATATGCATCCAAACAACTCTCGTCGCCGTCATCCAGCTGATCCACCACACCAAAATGAACGCGCGATGGGTACGTTGCGCGCTGAAGTCCCGTAAAGATTGTGTACCCACAACGAGAGCCGTCGCGAAATGACGACAGGCCGACAAACACGGTGCTGGTAATGGGGACACGCGGGGGCGGTGGGCGGTCTGATCCGCCATCCAATGGTATATGTTGTTCAAAGGGTGATACAGGCACAGGTAGGTCGTCGTGGTGATTGATGATCGCTATTTGTGTAGCGCCCGTCAATGCCAGGAGTGACAGTAGCAACACCGATGGTCCATGTGTCATCTTGGTGCGTGTGGTGGTGTAGTATACTAGTATAGGCGAAACAACATGGTTCCAATTCGAAGTGCCGGATATTTCCGGACGACGCGACTGTTGAACGTACTCACAGTCTAACTGTAAATAGTGTGACCCCACTGATTCAATAATTGGCACTATTATAGCCAATCCGACGCTTCGAATGGAAAATGTTCAGAGTTGGGCAAAACACATGCAACGGGGACAATCTACAATTCCTTGCACAACTTTACTCCGTATAACGTTAGCTTCCTCGGATTGCGGCTCTGGTCGTTGTACTATGAAAATGTCTTCATGCTATAGACGATGTCCTCCTATATATATTCATCATCGATGTGTAGCGATCCAGAATAAGAGTAGTGCTGTAAAGATGTGATCTTGTGTTCAGAACTGGGAATCGATTTTCATTGGCTACCCCCTTCGACTATTCTGGGAAATACACATAATATCTCAGAGTGGCAAGGACGGCATTTTAACCCGGTCGACCACGTAGGCATTATGAATCTGCGAGGGGTAGCCTGGACGATGGCGCTGGTCGCGGCAGTGGCAACGGCGGAGACGACCCCTCGTCCACAAAGCATTGCCTTCTCATGGCCAGAGAATGACAACAAGAAGAACTACGACGAAACCATGGATCCGTTGACGCAGAACATTCCACTTGACGCGGCGAGTAGCTCCCTTCGCCCTCCGCCGCCGCGAGTGCCCGACGTGTTCGACATCTTCGTGGGTCTGTCGACGTTCCGAGACGGTTATCGCTGCGGGTACACCCTGTTTACGGGATTCACGCGGGCGACCCACCCCGACCGCGTTTACTTTGGGGTTGTGGACCAAGTGAATCCCGAGGACGTTCGTTGCCTCGACGCGTACTGCGCATTTGCCAAGGAGCAATGGCCAGAGGACGAATGCAAGTACAAGAGCCACATCAAGATCGACGAGCGGCTGGCCGACGACTCCCGCGGACCCACGTACGCGCGGCACCACCAGCAAAAGCTCGTAGGGGATCAGGAGTTCTGCCTCCAGCTCGACGCCCACAGCATCTTCACCAAAAAGTGGGACGAAGGTCTCGTGGGCGAATGGAAGGCCACGAACAACGAGATGGCGGTGCTGTCCACGTACTTGCACCATTGTCACGACGGGTACATCCTCCCCGACGGGACCAACAACCCACCCGACCAGCTCCCGCACCTGTGCACGACCATTCGAGGTGGCAACGGCTGCGTGCGCACCGTCGGCGCCAGCATGATCCAGCGCCCCAAGTACCCCCAGCTCTCAGCGCTGTGGGGGGCTGGCTTGAGCTTTAGCAAGTGCCACGCTGAAACTCGAGTGCGTGTTGACCCGCATACACTGTGGATGTTTGATGGCGAAGAGTTTCTGCGGGCGTCGCATCTATGGACGTACGGCTACGACATGTATAGCCCTAGTACGGCCGGTACAGTCATCTACCACAATTACACGTCCGTACCTGCCAGGTAGGTACAGCACCACCACCCACTCTGTACAAGCGTGTGTGTTGTGTGTATTGGGAATATATATATCCATAGATTGTACTTGTGGGCGGGAAACACGATGAAAATGTGACAGTGGATGTTTGTATGTATATATATATATATTATAACATATATACTTGGTGGCAGTGGAGTTGTTTTGTATGTATATATATATATATATATATATATATATTTGCCGCCAGTACTTTTAGATAGTTGTCCGTTGTAGTGCTTGGATTGTTTGTTTGTTGGCGACACGGTGTCTATTGCATCAAGGATAATATTTATATATGATTCCACTAGTATATCAATCCAATTTGTTTTTCGTTGTTTACTGGAAGTCGTGTGTACGAGCTGTGATACGTACTGTCTTGATCATGTATATATATATATATATATAAATATATATATATATATAGGTTCGAAAACGTCAAAGTGGATGTGGAGCTGAAGAAACGTCAAGAAGAGATGGGCGTGAACCGGTTTAAGCTGATGGTGGGGCAGCCATTCAAGGGATTGGTCGACACGGAAGAGTGGGACACGTACAAGTTTGGGTCAGTGCGGTCGTTTAGCGAGTACTTGCGGTTCTCTGGCATTACGTTTGCGGATGGCAAGACGGATGAACATTCGTGCAAGCAGCTGCACTGGGTGCCATACGAAAAGCCAGCCGAAATTGAGAGTATGTTGCCAGGGTGGCACTTGCACCGTTCGGGGCACGAGAACAGCCCTGAAAATGGACAAGTAGCTGAGGCCACGACGGCGGTGACGGCCCCCAACGTGCGCCAGGAAAAACCTGTCAACTTTGGCATCGAAGCCACGATTGAGCACCCTGAACGAGTGACTTACTCGGGGTCGTTGGCGTTTATGGGGTTTGGCATTGTCCTCTTTGGGGTTGTTGTGTACACGAACGACGGCATGTGGAGCCGCACAAAGCGGTACTTTCGCCTGCAGCACAAGGCCCGCAATTGACGACGACGAGGACCATGTGTGACACTGTCCATCGGTAGATTCTTGTAATGAAAAACAAGACGAGGTGAAAGGGCAACATTGTTTCTATATATATATATATCGGTGTAGAACTGTACATATATATATAGAACTGTATATATATGTAGAACTGTATATATATATATACAGTTCTACACCGGAGTAGTACAGTAAGCTTTCTTTTGTGGGATAACGTCGTTTCTGTATATATATATATAATATATATATATCGGTGTAGTAAGCTTTCTTTTGTGGGATAACGTACAGTAAGTAGTACTAGTACGTACAGACATAGAACAGTAGTTAGTGCCCTGAAGTTCTCGACGAACTCGTTATTCGCGCATTTACTGTTAACATGAATCGTCACGCGCCCTCTGCCTACATAACTTCACCGGCCATGTACTAGTTAGTACCAATAAGTACTTCATATGAACCCCCGCTATGATGGGAAGCAAATACAGTACTTGGAACTAAGTTCACATGTCATTCACAGGCACTTGAAGAAGTGAAATATGCTCCATGGGGGCGGCCTTCACTATATTCTTTGGGGGGGGGGGTTAATACTGACAATACAACTTAAAAGGGACTTGTTGATATATATATATACAAATCCCCCGTATGATTTCTTGGACTACAAAAATCGTCATTCGTACAGTGCAAACAGTGAGGATGATCGCATAGGGATCGTTACTGGCAAAAAGCTATTTTTGATTTATACAGCCGTGGTTGCCTACAGCCCATTGAGCCCCCAGTTGCTGGTGCTGATGTGTAGAACGGCCACGACAGTGAGATACACGGCGACTTCGACCACTTGATTGGCACACCCGAGGCAGTCGCCAATAACCCCCCCCAGCACCCCCGAAAAGTACTGCCCCGCCAGAAACGATACAAGCAGGCCGACAGAAAACGCGCACAATCCCAATGACGTTCCTAGCAGCGACACCATCGACAGCGCCGTGAAGACCGTAGCTGTGCACACCCGCCACGACGTGAGCAGGTGCAGGTTGTTTCCGATTCCATTGTACAACGGGCCCTTGGGGTCTCTCTCGTCTTCAATGTACGGGTAAAACTGCAAAATGAACAGCGACGAGTACCGCCCGAGGACGTGGCCGGCGACGAGGGTGCCCGACACGATCGAGAAGAGGGGGGGGTCTACTACGGTGGTGGTGGTGGTGGTCGTGTCTACGAGGTGCGCGAGCACGGCCAACTTGAGCGCGGTCATAAGCAGCAGTCCCATGCATCCGTACGTGCCGAGCCGACTGTCCTTCATGATGCGCAGGATGTCATCCTTGGACCACCCGCCCCCGAACGAGTCGAAAGTGTCGGCGACTCCATCCTCGTGGAAGCACCCCGTGAGCCACACGGACGCAAACGTCGACAGGATGACGGCGACGGGTGTAGACCCGAAGAGGACGAGGCCCCCCACGAGCCACACGGCGGCGAACGCCCCCACGGCCCACCCGATGCACGGAAAGTAGCAGAACGAGGGCACGAGCTCCCGGACGTTGTGGTCTAGGTCGGGGATGATCATGTAGGCTGGAAGCCGCGTGAGAAACATGACGGACGTGAGGAATATGCGGAGCTCGGGGGGGGGTGGCAGCAACCCGTCGACGACGGACGACGGACCGGATGGCGTTGATGGGGCGGTGGCAGGAGGCGGGTCGATAGGTTTGGTCGGGGGGTGTTTGGGAAGACTTAAGGAAGACATCAAGAGTGACGCCGTGCGGAGAAGCGCTAAAACGTGAAGGCCGCCGACGCCACAAGGAAGGTGCGGCACGGCGATGTGTGTGATGGAGGGTCGACGTAGTTGGCTGCTGAAGCCAACTGTGTCCTGAAGTTGAGACTCGTGCGGAGGTTGGCTGTTGGCGGCAAACAGCACGTGGCGAGTCGCATGCGGGGCGAGTTGAGCGGCCATCACACCCGCCACAATGGCGGCAAGGCCGTCGAGGACGACAGGAATTTTGTGCGCCGCGGCTTCGACGACGGCGCCGCAGATGGCAGCCACGACGGGGCTATGCGTAGCCACCAACAGCGTCATCGGGTCTTGTCCGGATTTGGTCGAGAGGAGCGAGGCGGCGGTCGCTGCAAAGTCAGGCGAGGCAGGGAGTCCGACGATCACCATGGCGTGGTGGTTGTCCAGCAGTGTCTTTTTGATGGCATCTCGTCCTTGATGCATAGCATGCAAGCACTGCTCCATGTCGAGCGCATCGGTTTTGACCACTTGCACAGCGTGGTACGATACTTGCGATGCAGCCGCCACAACTCGAACTGCATTCGTAGCGTTATCCTGGTCGTCCGAGAACACAACCACCACTGGGTTGTCCACGCGGACTTCGGGTGTTTCTTGCAAGGCACATAGTTGCAGTCCAATGTCCTCGAGGATGCCAATGCCGCCAAAGCGTGAAGCTGCCGCCTGCCGCAACTCGGACGCTTCAAACCCAGCCATGTCGTTCAGAGTTTTTGTTACTGTACGTGATGAATCAATCATCCATGGATGACCAATCACATGGTGGAAAGAAGCGTGTCAAAACAACACCTTGTCATTATTAACACTTTTTATAACTGTAAAATACTACTACTAGTATTTTAATCCTATTAAAATACTACGTAGTAGTAGGTTTCTGATCCACAAGAAATCACATTGGGCCTTTTCATTGGCTACGATCTGCTTCAGCCAATCAAAGACTCGTGATGAATTGCGAAAACAAGCCATGAATAAAACTCTCGTAAGCTTAATTCAAAAATTGTCCACATGTGTTACCAACAGCAAGTATATGACGTGGCAAACTCCGGTGTGTTTCTATTGTATATCATCCTACGAACAGCCAACGTGCTATTTGTATTGCTGCGATATCCGCTCGAGTTTTCTCAAGAGCGATTCCATCTCGTCTGCAGGGTTGGGCGCCAGCCGCCTATCGAGTGTTTTGTCTGCCATTTCCCCGTCAGGTTCAAACATCGCGCCTCGACATGTCCGCTGGTTGTCGTCCTCTGCTTCCTCCGTCCGCCCCGCCGCCTCTCGCCGCCTTCGCGACGGCGACAGCCCCCCCTGCGTCGTCCCCGAAGTCTTCGGGCTCAACGTCGTCGCAGATCGGACAGCCTGGTGCAGCTTGGCAATGGTCGCATTCTGCTCGTGCACTTTGAGCTCCAAATTTCGCCGCGCGTCGACAGCAGCGTCGGTCTTTTTCGTTGCTTTGGCCACCTGCCGCTGCAATGATTCGATCTCCCCCACCAGCTCCTTGGTGTGGCCTTCCATGATAGACTGCATGTGTTCCACTTGTCGTTGCCATTGCTTGCCATCTTGGTTCTGCCGCGCGTGGTCGTGGTGGAGTTCATCTACTTGCCGCTTGAGGGTATCCACTTGTTGCTTTAGCATGTGCTTGATTGTGACGGCGTCGCGCAGCTTGTCTTGGGCAGCACATACAGTCTGCTGCATCTCATCGAATCGAGCGACCTACATATAGTATCGTTATTGTGTTTATTCTAAACTGGAGGATGAATTGACCGACACATAAATGTACACAAGAATCGGTACAGAACGATTGATTGTGCCCATCCGATACCAGCGTCAACATCGAATTAGTGTTTGTGACTTCAATTAGTGTGATACCAAGGCCTTTTTTTTCTTGACATGTTTTGTTCATTCGATTCGAAATTGGAGTGGTATTTGGGTGCATTTTCAATTTGAATGACCAACCAAATCGGCAGAGAATCGATATACGACCAATCAAAACACAAAACATGAATCAACTAGCCAATCAACTCTTCGAATAATTCAACATCGAATTAGTGTGTGATTGAAATTAGTGTGATACTTTACATTCAAAAGTCAAGACAAACAATTGATCGATAGATTTGGCAACGAATCAGCACAAAAGTCCAAATATTGGGTAAAAAAAGACAATTCAAGATTATATTGTTGTGCGTATTATTCTGACATGGAGAAGAAGAATGAATCGATCGACACAACCAAATAAATGTACACAAGAATCGGCACAAGGATTGAGCCAATCAGATTGCAGGAAACCAGTATATCAACACGTCGAAATAGTGTGCGATCGAAATTAGTGTGATTACAGAAACCACCACAGCACAACTTTGACACCTTCACAAGTCGGCACAAAGGACTGATCAAAATTGCCAAATCGATTCGAAACTGGAGCCCTCATCAGAATCGGATTAAAGAACTGCCTAAGCCAATCAAATCACGTTCTGTTGAATTTCTGCCAATCCAAACGTTTCACTCGACCTAGTTGGGCAAAACTATATATATATATATACTAATCTTTGTAAAGCATAATTTGTACAAGCTTAAATTGGACAGTATTTGGCGAAATCACTCACAAAAAGTCCAATTTTCGGTGTGAAATGCATTACAATAATAGAGCTGGCGAATCAGCACACAAGCAGCCCAAATGTCAGGTATCATACATGACGTGGCGCCGTGAAAATACTTTGCATTCACAGCCTGCTCGCTGTTTTGCGAGGTATAGGTGTGCAAATGATATACCTTGTCCTTTGACGCTTTCAATCGAGCACGCAGCGCCACCATATCGACATGATCTTGCTTGGATTGAGCCAGCGCGCGCTGCAGTGCCGCATCCAGTTCGCCGTTTCGATTCCCAATCGATTCCAGCCGCTGCATCAACTGCTTCATCTGTTTTTCTCTGGCTTTCCGGTCATCAGAGGCATGCTGCCACGTATCGAGTCGTTCTTGGGCTTGTTGTAACTTGGCCACGAGCGTGTCGTAATCTGCTGTGGCGGCCACCTTGTCACACATGGCTTGCAACTGGTCTTGCAAGCCTCGAATCGTAGCCTCCAGTTGCTCACGAGCGCGTTCCCAGTCGGTTTTCTCGGCGAGCAACGCTGGCAAGCGCTGCGCGTCGGCGCGCCACGTCATGGCTTCCGTTTCCGAGGCGGCGACCTGCGCTTGACACTCGGCGCGCTTGTGGCGCAGCTGTTCGTTCATGTCGCGAAGACTCGCGACGTCTGCCCGCAACGAATCGCACTCGTGTTGCACTTGGTGCATCTGGGCTTTGACATCGGCCAATTCACGCTCCAACGCATCCGTGTTTCCATCTTGAAGCAGCAACTCTTTGAATCCAGTCTCAATGTTATCGCCGAGAAACCCGCGGCATTCCACTAGCTGCTCCATGTCGACGTGTAGGGCGGCCAGCTCGCGCTCGAGCCGCTCCGCCTTGGCGTCCCCCAACCGCTTGGCATCGGCCATGGCGCCGAGCTCGCCGTCCCGCTCCATCGCTTCCGAGTGCAATGCCATGATCGAATCGTCCTTCTGCCGACATGACGCTTGCAACGACGACACTTGGTGCTCCAGCGATTGAATGCGCTGCTGCAACGCAGACCTTTCATCGCGGAATTGAGCTTCGAGCGTGCCTTTGAGTAGACGAACTTCGTCCCGCAGCGTTCGAACCAGCACCGATTGGCCTTGCGGGCGGCTTGTGGCGTCGAGCTGGGTCAGCTGGCGCGTCTTGGCGTCCAACGCACGGCTGGTTTCGCGGTGCTGGGCCTTCAACGCGTCCAGTTTCGATGTCAGCGACGCGTTCATCGCTTCCGCCTTGTCCAGGGCACCCTGGGTGGCCCGCAGCGACTCCTGGGTCGTCTCAAGCACCTTTCTATCTTGCGTCGACTCGGTCACGTGCACCTTGAACGCGTCAAACTGAGCGCGGAGGTCGGCCAGAGCCTGCTCCTTCTTCGACAACTTGTCCTTGACATGGTCACCCTGGGCGACTTTGTCCTGGAGTTGACGGTTCGTGCGTGCGAGACCGTCGCATTCCTGCTGGAGGTCGGCGATCTGGCGCTTCCACGTTTCCTCCTTCGTCTTGTACCCATCCTCGAGCTTTTCGATCGCGGCGCTGAACCCCTCGATGCTGTGGGCCGCGTCTTGGATCTGGACCTCCAACTCGCAATTGTGCAGCTGCAAGTCTCGCTTTTCGCGTCGGAGTGCTTCGATTTCATCGATGTGTTGGTCGGCTCGCATGGAAGTCTTTGGAGGTGGCGATTGGTACGGAGAAGATGGCGCAACAGTAGACTCGCCTCCTACCAACCTAATGCAGGGCGTTATGTCTTCCACCCTCTTGGAGGGATCCTGGGTAACGGTACTACCTTCGCAACCGATCAAGCTCGCTGTGTTGATGCAGATCCCGCTGCTGCAGAAGCTCCACCTGGTTGGATAATGCTTCCAGCATCCTCTTCTGGTCGTCGCTTGGACGTGATGGCCGCGGCTCTGGGCTAGGTTCCGACGAAGCTGACGCCATCGACGAACGCCGCATGTTCCGACAGTGTTGGGCAAAATGGACGCCAATTGATCTGATTTTGGCGCCTTGCGTATTTTTTGCCTCAAATCCAAATTATACTATATGTTTGTATACCACTTTGGAAGTCGGAATTTAATTACCCTTGTCCTTGACAACGATTGGTGGATTCAAACAGCACTTTCGTATGTACTTATATACGGTAATCTTGCTCAGTTACTATGTAGTAATAGCTTCATCTCAAATGCACCAAATCATTTGCCAAACGGACCATGCTTGTACTTGTTGGTCACCGACAAGCATTTCCTTTTTTGCAGTCGTTCTGCAATGACATTGTGTTGTAGTGAAGTCACCTGGACAGTTCTCAACTACCGAGGGATTGGGGTTTTGTCTCCACAACATGTACATGTAGTTGTCACTGACTGAATATAGTGTACGATCAAATTACCTTATATACACACAAGTGATCAATTTGGGTGGCGCGAACGACGATTCGAACTGATTTAAAAATACGTGTTGTGGATAGTATCGGGACGACAAATGTTGGTTTTGAGGGTCAAGAGACTGCTCAAGTTGCACATGTCTGCCATGGTCGCCTTGGAGAGATGGTGGCTCCCTTCTTCTCCTTGCAGTTTCTCATGCAGTTGCTGTAACTGGTCTTGGTGGGCCAGCAACGCCGTGGCCATAGCAGACCTCGAAGCCCACGTGTCCACGGCATCGTGCCGTCGAAAGGCGGCGTTTACTTGCCCCGTCAAGGTGCTGAGCAACGTTGCAAAATGCACCTAGTATGTATATTGCCGTGACAAACCAGGAGCCGCATTTCTCGTACCTGAATAGCCTCGCGCACATGGGCATATCGATCGGTAAAGGTCAGCCGAAGCTCCTGTCTTGCAATCTCGTCGGGCGTGAGCACAAGCGCCTTCTTACTTCGCTTCGTGGATGCCTTTTTGGTCGTTTGTGGACTCGGTGGTCTCGGTGGCGACCCTATCCCTACACGGTATCACATGGACGTTCAACTGTCCACCTTGTTGTACCTCGTCCTGGAGACGTTTGGGCATTCGCCACTGCTTTGTCACTGGGCGACTTAGCGACCCCGTGACCTGCTTTTGCCATGCTGGTATCTACCTTGGTCTCCGCTACAAAAACAACATATAACTTCCCGTCATATTCAAAGCGCGGTTGCCATTCTACCAAGAAGGTTTCCACTTGTTGAGGGTTGTTCAAGAGTAAGGGGGGGCGGTATGATCACTGGTTGGGGGGGAGGAGGCACCAGGGTAGCCTACTCTACGGTTAATAGATGCTTTGATTCACAGCCAGTCCTTCAATCACATCCAGCGCAGACGCCAAGTGTGAGTGCATACGTACATACCACACGACTAGCGTAGATGACCCAAAAATCGGCCACTTCTGCGGCCATGTCAGGGGGAGCATTGTACGGACGTAACTCCATATCCATGTTGCCAGGGCTTTGACGGCGGATGGCTTCGACGTCCTCGATGGAGCACGGGTCCATCGATCGAATCGTGTCGTGGGCTCGTGTGGCGATGGGGTGGAAGGCCTTGGACGCAGCTGCGTATAATGACCATGCAATCTCAAGCGCAGGGGTCAATGTTTGCCGACTGGCGGTAGTGTTCTTCACTCGTAACGCGTAGACGTAGCCGTGTTGAATGATCACGTGTAAGAGGTCCTCAAGTATGATGGGCTTGTCTGTGTTGATGTACGTGTGTGGGTCGTGGCTCGTGTCTTTGGCATTGCCGTAAGTGGCCCCTACGATGGGAGTTTGATGATTCAAACAAGGGGATTATTGGCGGTAGAGCGTACCCCAGAGAATGCCGAGTGATGTTGCGACAGCAGAGTGGGGGTGCTGATACTCGTCGAGATTGCGCAGCCCGTCTGAAATGGACGAAGTCGTGCCAAAGACGCTTAAAATCACGTGAAACGACGTGACTACATGGGCTACAAACACGGGTCAACCACACGTGAATTGAAACAAAGTACTGTACTACCGTTGGGGAAATAGGCAGCAGGAACTTGAACGGTTGGCAGCATTGATATGACCTGGAATACCAAATTATAGTCGGATACTTTCGGGGGGAGAATAATAGGGGGATGGATGTACACTACCCGTCGAACGGGGGCGCAAGGGGGGTCAGTCGTCCAAAAGTCAGAGGGGAAGCCATGGGCAATAAAGTATGGCCGCAATAATGCTTCTTTGGTTGTGTTTTGAACACTTCCCAAGACCAGCATGCTCTATTCCAGACGGGGGTTGATTTCCTCGAATAAACAAATAAATCTGATGAGAGGTAGGTAATAACCATACCAGGTATCGAACTACGTCGCGGGTTTCAGGCGGGGAGTTCTTGGCCACTGCCATCGCCAAATCCATGGCGCGACGTGGGGCCACTGCATGCAACAGCACCTATGCAACGAACCTATGACAAACGATCTTACGCGCTTCGAAATGAACGCCATTACAAGGGCAAGTGCTCGCGACAGAAGCGTGTCGTGGGGCACGGATGTTTCGGTAGTAGCAGGAGTTTCTAGCAAGTGTGCGATTTCCACGGCCTCGTACGTCGACAGTACTGGTGGCTGACCTGACGCAGCCAGCACCCCTGCAAACCACATTGATTCATCAACTTGGAATAATTCGTCTTGCGATGCTCAGCATCTCACCCCCAAGCATCACCAAGCTACTACTATGTCATAGGTATGTATGGTCAAGAGTCAAATGCACACCTACGTACCATGTCGGTGCCACTGTGAAAACAGTGCACCAAAGCCAGCATGGATGCCGTTCAGGTCTGGTGACTTGGTCTCACCCACAAGGACAGACATCACGACGCTTAGCACGGTAGCCTACCCACATATACGTACAAACTGAGGCTTAGTTTCGAACTACTACCTGGTAGTAAGTAACCTTCAATATCACACGACACCTACGTACACCGTGAAAGCCCCACTGAAGCGAGTCCTTGTTGTATGGGCAATCGCAGACCACGCCTAGCCACAATGCGGACACCACACGATGACGGAATGCATCGGCAGCGCCCATCGAGTTGGCTCGAGATGTCAATGCATGGCCAAGAAGGAGGTAGTGCGATTCTACTTCGGCAGCTACCATCCTCTGTCGCTCGTCCTGCACTTGATACAACATGCGCTGTCTGTCGATTTCGGCCAGTTGGAGTTGTTGCAATGCCAACCTCGCAGCTTCCGCCTCCTCCTTCGAGACAACTAGTGCTGTCACCACGGACGAAGCCTCGACATCAGACACTGGAGCTGCCTTTATCGTCTTTGGCTTTGCCATTGTGACCTTTGGCATAAAGGGGCACGTCTGGCAAGGGTTCGTTGTGCTGAAGCTGCTAAATATAGGTCACTTTTCAAGTGTAGAGTACTACTGCCCATTGCTGTACTTCTGTTGGCTTTGCAAAGGGCGATGACACACATTGGCCACGAGAATAGTGAACGCACGAGTGAAAGCGGCAATGTAGTAGTTCTAGCCAATAAACCAGAAGAAATGGCCAATCCGAACGCATTGGAAAGAAATAAGACCACCTTATTGTCGATTTGATACAAATTTTGGGTGGGGGCGCTATCGTATCACGCCAGTGATTCGGTTTGTGAACGAGTCTGATTGGCTCAATTTACGAAAGCTCAGTGTGATTGGCTCAAGACTTTTGACAGCCGTACTTTCGAACGGGGACATTGAAAAAAAACGTATTCAATGGAATTTCGAAATATCCGGATATATCCACTAAAATATCCGCATTTGGCCGAAATATGCGAATATTTGGCGTCATTGAACACGCCTAATAGGTATTAATACTACGTACTTCAAGTATATGTATGATTCGTTTGATTTGATGTTTGTTATTATACAGTCAGTATAAATGTCAAATAACTCTGAGCAATAATAGTTACTACGTAGTACTACATAGTACTTCGAAGTACATGTGATTCTGAAGTGAGCAAGACACCTTGGCTGTTAATTCCATCGAGTAGTACATGCCACCGGAACGTATGGTAGTACTACGCAGTACTACAGGGAATGACGTATTAAGCGCCCCCGTGGTACTTCGAATTGGCATTTCAATTGTGTATTGGGACAAACTACTTCGAAATTTCAATACTTTAATCAATACGAAATTTTAGTACCACGGGGGCGTTTAATACGTCATTCCCTGTAGTACTACCAGTAGTACTTCGAAGTACTATTACTCGGAGTAATAGAAAGCTGTAAGCCACCTTTTGAATAGGGTATTTCACAACTATGAAATGCCTTATTAGTATGGAACCTATCTATGAGTTCGATTCACATAATCCAGAAAATGACATGAAATATGGGCGAAAATAACGGCACGCATTATATTTTTGATTTGT